TTTTGCAAATTTGGGGACACTAAATTTAAGTTTTTTTTGCTTTAATCGTTTTTGACCTTTAAAATTAATTTTTTCAATATTTTTTTTGGAGTGATTTATAAAACAAACTAAAAAACGGATAAAATTTGACCTCTAAATCTATTTGGGGAAAATTGGAACACCCAAAAGATCCCAAAGTCATTTGGATCTTGAATTTCAACTCATCATCCAAGCTAAGTCCTAATCCCTGTGGATCTTTTAAGGCAGACTTCAATACCGTCAGGACATGATTCTATAGGTAATGTCATAATCAATGCGATAGTAATTTGGACTCTTTCCATTCGGATGTTTTTTTCTAGATGTTTTTCCACGCAATTTAGATTTTTAGGATTTTTGACTCCGTTTTGGATGTTTTTTTGTCAAAGAAAAGTGGCAACACTGACAACCACACACATGACAGTACACCAGTTTGTTAATAACATCATAAATCTAGCAATAAAGGCATGGTTAATACCTTTTTTTTAAACACAAAAACATGAAAGCGGCAGCGGTGTAGCATTTAAACTCTCGACAGATGATTCGAAGGTTTTGTGTTTAAATCTGAACAAAACCGGACTTTAACCAGCTTTAATTTAGTACCACATCAAATGCTGGGAAGTAAAGTTGCCCTGCGTTATGCTGACTAATCAATCAGCGAGCAGTCTGTAAGTGTAGTTCTGTGATTATAAATGTCCAATACGTCTATACACTGGAGACATATGGCCAAAGACATTCAGAAATAAAAGTTAAAGTACAATGGCTCAACTTCATTGCTGCGAGTTTTATCCCACATGGCTCGGTCTCTCTTCGCAGAAAAGTAAATCGCCTGTCGAGAGCGTTACACAGAACCCAAGCACCATATTTCCGGCGACTTTCAACACTTTCACTCATGAACGGAATGATACAAAGATAAAACGACCCCACAACGTGCGAGGCAAAGACGTACAGGCAAATCGTACATGGAGAACGCAGTTAGAGAGCAAAGGTAAGGAGGTGGGTATGACATGGGATGAGCTGCATGTGTAATAAATATTTTAAAAACTTACACGCACTGATAGGCACTCACAAAAGGAAACTGAAAGATAAAAGGACACTGGGAAACATCAAATTAAAAGACTATAGTTATTATGCAGGTAATCGAACCTGAGACCTCCAAACGACAACAGCACCTCGCTACAGAAGCAAATGTACTAAGACGCTTGACCAATTAGGCCCCCTCCAACAAAGGCGTCGTCATTGGCTATGTCTATAGTCCAGCACGAATCCACAGCTACGGAATACGGACAAAATTCGTCTCAAGCATTTTAAATGGCATCATAGATTACATAAATGTATATTAACAAAGCATAGGTCGAAAATAACAAAAACAATAACAAAAATAAACACACAGGATTGTAATGCTTAGTCTAGAATACTGCGAATGTTTAAGAAGGAGATTTGATTGGCCGGTTCCATGTGTTTAATGGATACTGCAATCTTATTTCAAACTTCAGAATCTAAAAGAAACGGTTTATTTCTGTACTTCCGTTGAGAAAAAAAATATTTTATTTATCACCGCGAGACAAAATGTCTATTAATTTCAATAATGAGACGTAGAAATAAATGGCTTAGATGTAATAGGAAACATGATGCTCAACCGATGGCCTGCTCATAAATAAATAGATTTGTTCTAAGATAACATGAGTCTGCTAGTTACAAGTTACAATTCTACAATCTGTTTCACATCGGAGGCGGGGGCGACGCCATAAAGATATTATAGGTGGGCGTCAACCCTCTTTTTAGGCTTTAGTGAACAATAATAATATTATTATTAATTATTACTACTGTTATTATTATTTCTAACTATTTGCAGAAAAGAAAATAAAGGTAACAATATATTTGAAATAATATGATTCGTATAAGCAAGTACTTGAAACAATAGAACGGCAATGCATGGTTTAAGATGTGGGGGGGGGGGGGGGTTATGGTTGGCACAGAAGGTATCTTAGCTCCCTATGTTTGCGGCGCCCCTGATGGAGTAGAGAAATGCAATGTCCATTTTAATTTTATATCTACCCCCGCAAAAATACACCATTATTTGACGCAGAAAAAACCGTATTTTCGATTTTTAAAAAAAATTTGAATTCTTATAAAAGTATGGAAACTTAATAGAGTGGGAGTTTTACCAGACAGGCATTGTCGGTTCTTTGCCAAACCGGAAGCCGTGAAAATGGTGGACGTGCAGACGTAAAAATTGAACATCAGGTATTTAATTTTGGAATCATGGCGTTGTTGGTTTTCGAACTGACCTAGTGAAATAATGGCACAGAAGTCAATACCCAGTGTGACTGAATAATTTCCTGACTTGTTAACTCTTTCTGCCATCCGAGGCAAGTGTTACTTTGACTCTTGTTATTTATGGGGCTGCGTGGTCTTGGTGCATGGTTCTGCATGGAGTGCTAGAGGTCTCGGGTTCAAGCGCCGTTGAGGGCTGGGATTTTTCATGTGGACTTCTAGTAATTTACCACTGGTCTCTGAGCAGTAAGACTGAACGCTCGTGTGTATTGTTGCAGACTGCAAAATATCCCTTGGCAGTTGGAAATCTAAGATAGTAGCCCAACAGCGCTGCCCGGGCAAAATTTAGAGTTCAAAAATCGAATCAAAATATTTCGGGATCCTCGCCGGTGCAATGGAGTTCGTGCACTGCTCTGAGATTCTTCGGACTAAGGATTGAGTTAGAAGAAGAACGGAGCACTTATGGGTTACACCCGTGTGCCATCGTGTTGATCCAATGAATAAACATAAACATCACAATCATCACCTTACAGTTTGAAAATAAGAGTGTCTCGCTGATAGCGTCACAACATCCGGTGTGAGAATGGAAGGGAAGGGAGTGACGGTAGCTTTCTGATGGCTCGAGATCAGCACAGTCCTGACACGTTGCATTACAAGAATGGATTTTCTGGCAACAAAACATTCGTATTGGACAAGGGAGACATTCTGAAGACCATAAATGAACTACTGTTGACAGAAGACATGAGATTAGAAGAAATGCCATGTGCAAGAATGTGTAAAAGAGGAGTTAGGGGTGGATCTGGCAAAGCAGGGACGTAGTTTAGAAAGAAAACTTTGTGTAAATAATCAATGTGCTACATCTACAGCTTAGGATATTTGTTTTTAGAAACGGAGCATCTATGGTAGTAGTGGTAGTACATTTTACCCCATCAGGACCTCACACAAGTTATAAACACCCGATGAAACAAAGTGCCACCATGTGGATGAGGATCACCCGTGGAGAAGGCCCAGAAACCGCGTTTAGCCATTAAACCATATTTATGGCCAGGCTATATTGCGGCCCCTGGCAAGAGCCAGGGTGGGGCTTCAAAATTACGAAAAATTGCATCCCACAAGGGTATAGCAAGAGCATAGTCTCTGTATTAACACCACATTCATCTACCATCATGCTCACAGTCAAACAACGATTTTCTTGTATCCGTTCTCGGATTTTCGCAATGAGTTCCTCATTACGAATAGAAATTGGGCGTCCAAGTCTAGTTGCAATAGTACTCATTCCCACACAACTTTTGTATCGTAAATACCAGCTGAAAATCTATGCACGAGATAAACAATTATCCTCATAAACTTGTTTGATGTCTGCTTATCGGGCGGAGACGAAAAATTGCCAGATCATAGACGAAGGTTGCCTTTTTGGATTCCATGCTGTGATTGGTAGATGACATTTTTGTCTTAGCATAATAAACTCAGTCTCATTCCCTAACTGTCGGACCTTGCAAATGAGTAGATCTACACTGTTAATTTCTTTACAACTTTAAGACAGAAAGTTCTTAAGGTGCTACAAACAAACTTCGACCAACCGTCACTCAATGTTGTATGTTGAAATAAGAATCGACATCACAGCACTCGGGACACTAAGTGTTCAGTTCCCATCTTCAGCAGCAGCAGAAGTGTTCCGATTATGATGGTACCAGTAACCGTCTGATTGTATATCCGTCTCATCCTTCCCCGAGTGTTGAGCGTCGGCTAGATCCAGTGGTAACTCCTTGCAGTGCCATTCTACTTAGACCGTCATGAGCTGTTTGCGCCTCCTCACTGTCTACTCGTTGCCAAAGGACTCTCAGAATATCTGACTTGTCATAGATCAATTCAGCACCGAGTGGTGCATAGCCAGCTAGTCTATCTGCCTAATCATATCCCACCACATCAGCATGACCTGGAACAAATATCCAAAGGATGCTGACTACCCGGGACCTCTGAAGTGATACTTGCCACTCTGCACGAAGCATGCCTGTTTTCACCTTTCTTTCTCAACATTCTCTGTGAGTCACTTACAATCAGAGCATCAGTCACTCATTCAACCGCCAGTTTTCTGTTATGCGTTATCGTCTAAAAACTTAACAAGAAACCTGCAACTAGTCACTCGGAAGCTTCAACAATGGTATCAAAGTGTATCGACTGGTTTAAAATGCAAGAGAAAGCAAATACAACACAGATCCCACAGATCCTACTTCTGCGTAAGATGCGGGAGCATCGCCGCGCAGAAAGTTCGAGCCTCGAAGACGCAGAAGGAGATGACAGATTATGTTTAAGTAACGTAGGTTTATAGTATTACAATATATTTATGTAAATTACTTCTCTTATATTGTAGTTTATATTGATCATTTTGTAAATTTAGTACAATCTGTATGCATTAGTTGAAAGGATTTTAGCTTAATTTCTGTCCTAAGTCTGCAATGAAATGTCCCAAGCCTACACTGAAATGTCCCAAGCCTGCAGTGAAATGTCACAAGTCTGCAGTGAACTCTCACAAGTCTGCAGTGAAATGTCACAAGTCTGCAGTGAAATGTCACAAGTCTGCAGTGAAATGTCACAAGTCTGCAGTGAAATGTCACAAGTCTGCAGTGAAATGTCACAAGTCTGCAGCGAAATGTCACAAGTCTGCAGTGAAATGTCACAAGCCTGCAGTGAAATGTCCCAAGCCTGCAATGAAATGTCCCAAGCCTGCAGGGAAATGTCCCGAGCCTGCAGTGAAATGTACCGAGCCTGCAGTGAAATGTCCCCAGTTTGCAGTGAAATGTCCCAAGCCTGCACTGAAATGTCCTCAGTCTGCAGTGAAATGTCCCAAGCCTGCACTGAAATGTCCTCAGCCTGCACTGAAATGTCCTCAGCCTGCAGTGAAATGTCCCAAGCCTGCAGTGAGAACACGTTACTGTACACATGTAAGAAGATATTTATGTTATCCGTCTATACGGTTATCCCTCACAGCACTGGCCCGGACGGTGACGGTTGATGGAAGCTTTACTGCATTTATTGTTGGCATCTTTCCGTCTGTTCCAAACCATAGTGTTACATGTTGTGCTATGGGGACCACTGGAAAGATCTGGGGAAAGAATGACAGGGGAAGACACCGCGAGAAGATTCTTGACAGGCTTGTGTCATGGCGTGGAGGGGTGTCGACACACGAACTGATGATAGACACATAGCTGCAGATGGCAGATTGTGGAGAGAGACATGATAGCGCACGCCAGTCGGCAAGGCACTTGATAATGATGATGATGATGATAGGGGAGGTTTGAGAATCACAACCCATGGTGCTGGCGAAGATGGCTAAGCCGACTTAACCGAGTTAAGAACGGTCTTCCTACAATTAGATTTGTTGCCATCACATATATTTACTATACTTTTTCTCACATGCTCATATTTTTCTGCAGTCACACCCCCCCCCCCCCCCCCCCCCCCCATTTATGTTCCCTTCCTGATTTCCTCCTTCCACTCAACAGGGTCCACAGCATTTTGTTTCCATGAATCTACCTCAATACTGCTATCATTCATGTCCTGCTTGCACACATCTTTAAATTATAACAATAGCCAGTATCGTCATCTTCTTCCCATCTGTAGTGCGCCATAGAGGATGTCCATAGGGAGTCTACCATTCTGCACTCTCCAGGTGTCACCCAGCCGCCTGAGCCTTCGGAGACTGAACATTGAAAAGACGGTTGTGAAACATGCTCTTTCCAACACCTCAGTGTTGGTGATTTTGTCTTGCCACTTAATGTCAAGTATTCTTCTTTGACAGCAAGGCTAAATGATTTCGTAAACTTTTTAATGAATTCGAAAACTATTGTTTTTTTCCTATATGAGTTCCCGAACGATCTTTCAACAATTCAAGAATGTTTGTATAAATTCGAGTCAGTATTTTTATTTGTAAGTTCCAGTAATGTTTTTTTTTTTTTTTTTATATTTATAAACCGGAAATGGAACTTTAGTATGCTGATAAACATGCAATTAAAAATGTCTGAATGGTTTACAATAATCATACAACGCACCCAGACTGGACTACAGCGTCCTTAGTAATCGTTTTGTGGTACCCAATATGACGGTCATATATTGCTACACAGCTGAACACAGTTTCCGGATTTGTAACTGTTTAATTCTAATCATTAGGATGTTAATCCTACAGAATGCACATTTGTAGAAGACAAACTAAAAAAAGTTTTTACAAAAAATTCTTTCATTCGTCGCGAAGGATCTTTTGAAGAGTTCCATCCCTTCTTTAATTAATTAATTTAATCATTTAAAATATTACCAAAGATCTAATCTGTGCACAGGATAGTCGAAGAAATGAACAAGACTCTACAGGAACTTGTTCTGAACAAACACGTCTGGATCCTGCACATACTTACATACTAATCTATTTAGAGCCGCACTGAGAGTGAGTTTCTTTTGTTCTTGAGGTGGTTTATTTGTATTGACCTGCCTCCTGGTCTCTGTTGTTCAGTGGTTTTCAAACTGTTTGGCGCACCCTATTGGGTTTTGGCAGGGGCGGGTGCCAGGAAGTTTAAAAATAAGGGGATGTGTGGTGGTGGGAAAGGGGGGGGGGGGGGGAATTGTCAAAAACTTTAATATTATATTGAATTTTTTTTCATTTTAATTGTAAATAAAGTCTTATCAGTCATGAAAAAAAAAAAAGAGCTGCCAGAGGAATCTTCGTTGTATCTCGTTTCTTTCATGTTATCTGACACTTTGATTTACAAGGATGTTTTTTCTCCGTGTTCTTTTTGGTAGTGATTGCGATTTTTCGTTTGAAATCAAATTTGTTTGAAGGAGGCCTGTGGAAAGGGGGGGGGGGGGGGGGGGAGATCTTGCCATATATTCAAGGGGGCGCTACCTGAAAATGTTGGAAACCACTGGTCTAGTTTGCGTTTGCGTGAGACTACTCGATCTTCTTTTCATGGCTGAATCGTTACTGTCGAGGTCTCTGGGGGTATCAGATCTACTAGGGCACATAATTTGATTAGTTAGTGAATCGTGTGTTTTACAGACGGTAGAGCTGAGTGAATAATAGCAGAAGGCATGATACTAGAAAGGGGCATCAGAGGTTGACCGACACGAAGATGGGCACAGGATATAAGTGACTCTTTGAGTATGAAAGTACATGAGGCAGAAGGGCTAGTGAGAGATCGAGCTTCTTTCACGCAGACCGTGATAAAAGCAACGTTCTGCAAAGGACCTGTTACATGATGATGATGAAAGCTAAGTGTGACATTTTCAGCTTTTGTTGTAGGTTTGCTGTTTTGACACAATCGCCGGAATGTCTTCTGTGGTGTCGTGTGTGTGTTGGGGGGGGGGGGGTTTTTAGAGTACACAAATAATATTAATGCACAAGACTTACTTACCTCTTCACAGCCAAGGGGAGGCGTCGTCTTTGTCACAGCCTGGTAGGTCTTGAAGAAATTTCCATCACAGTTAGTCTTCGCATAGATAGATGTGTGTATGCATCTTTTCTTGCACCAGCTAATAACAAATGTTGTTTTCTATTGCATACAGCTTTATTTTTTGTGTGTGTGTTTTCTTTAATCCAGGTCAACTAATTATAAACAGTTTCTCGTCACAGGTCATTATAAAGATTGTTTCTGGTCACACCCAATTATATATATATATATATATATATATATATATATATATATATATATATATATATATATATATATATATATATATAACATTTTCTTATAGACTATTTTTAATAAAATAAACCGATTTACAGTCACAGATAAACCTTATTTGTGTTCCCCCTTTAGTTACATACAGTCATAAATGATGTGCTCTTTTGTTTCCCCCCTCAGCTGCTATCGTACCTTCCGTCCTTTTTAGGATGAAATTTTGCGTTATTTGAAGCCCTACTCTGGCTTTTGCCAGGGGCCGTAATATAGCCTGGCCATAAATATGGCCTAAAGGCTGAACACCGTTTCTGGGACCTCTCCACGGTGATCCTCACCCACATGGTGGCACATTGTGTTATCGGGTGTTTATCGCTTGAGTGATGTCCTGGTGGGGTAGAAAGTCAGTCAGTCAGTCAATCACAGCCAGAAAATTATGTAATCAGTTTCTCGTAACAACCAACCATTTGTTTGTCATAGCCAACTGCATGCGCAACTTTTCATCACGATCAGCAATATTTGAATCTTCTTGTAAAAAAAAAAAAATCAAAACAATCAAAATGTGTGTGGATCACTGTTTCTTCTGTGAAAATCCAGTTTCGTCCTTTTCAGGACGAAATTTTTTGTCATTTGAAGCCCTACTCTGGCTTTTGCCAGGGGCCGCAATATAGGCAGGCCATAAATATGGCCAAATGTCTGAACGCGGTTTCTGGGACCTCTCCACGGCGATCCTCATCCGCATGGTGGCACTTTGTGTCATCGGGTGTTTATCGCTTGTGTGATGTCCTGGTGGGGTAGAAATTCATTCATTCATTCAACAACCAAAATAACAACAATATATATTTACAACACTTTTGTCATAACAAGTTATATATTGAGCTTTTTCTTCAATTTCAGCTTAATAGCCAACTATGTATGCAATTGTCTCGTCACAACTAGCTACAGTGTGTATATGAAGCTTTTGTGTCATAAAAAGCAATGTATGCAACTTTTCTTTCCCAACCAGCTACACTGTATCTATCTATCTATCTATCTATCTATCTATCTATCTATCTATCTATCTATCTATCTATCTATCTATCTATCTATCTATCTATCTATCTATCTATCTATCTATCTATCTATCTATCTATCTATCTATCTATCTATCTATCTATCTATCTATCTATCTATCTATCTATCTATCTATCTATCTATCTATCTATCTATCTATCTATCTATCTATCTATCTATCTATCTATCTATCTATCTATCTATCTATCTATCTATCTATCTATCTATCTATCTATCTATCTATCTATCTATCTATCTATCTATCTATCTATCTATCTACCTACCTACCTACCTACCTACCTACCTACCTACCTACCTACCTACCTACCTACCTACCTACCCACCCACCTACCCACCTACCTACCTACCTACCTACCTACCTACCTGTCTGTCTGTCTGTCTGTCTGTCTGTCTGTCTGTCTGTCTGTCTGTCTGTCTGTCTGTCTGTCTGTCTGTCTGTCTGTCTGTCTGTCTGTCTGTCTGTCTGTCTGTCTGTCTGTCTGTCTGTCTGTCTATCTATGCCAGCTCTGATATAGAGATTGGTCTCATCTTCCACTACCACACAGAGTACTTCTTTGTCTTCTCCCTAAAGGTCTTGATGGCAACTGTCGCATGCGGATATGCACTAGAACGCACCAGTACCGAGTGAGAAAATAGGACTTCAAAACAATACGTAATGTTGCTAAGGGATTGTTGTCGATGTATACAGTCTGAAGGAGACAGACGTGTGGTCGTGTCTCAGTGGATCCTTGAGGACGCTCTACCCCGGGAGTCCACTACAAACCTCAGCGGAAAGCTGGTACATTGTCTATTGCAATCGGCAAAAAGCCGGTAAATTTTAAGGAGGGATTATCCATGCCGAATCATTAAAGAGGGAAATTGCCCTGTTCAGACTGCAGAAGAGGAGTACGATGTGACTGTCCGGACTTCGAAGGTCGGACTGTTGACTTGTCGTTTGAAAATGTCATTTGAATTTATTCGTTAGGATGTACGAGCGGTTGCTTGTGTGGGCGTGTTTGGGTGAGTCTTCACCAAGAGTCCTATTATTTGCACATTTTCTTATTTGTTGGTCAAGTGTGTGTAACAAATACACCAATTATACAGATTCTCAAAGCGTTCATCTTCAACTGCGTTTGGAAGCATTGAGTTCCTACTGTTCTGTCATACTTTGCTGGTGGCATTGTATTCTCAATCAAGAGGTATGCGTTTGTACCTGAT